CATGAATAACAATGAGTACAAGGAAGAGGAAACTGTTTTCAAATTGATTGTGGTAAAGATTGTACAACTCATCTTGATATGACTGAACTGTTGAATTGCATGACATGTGGATGAAGTATCAATAAAACTTTCAAAAGAAGACTTTTTGTTTAATGTTTAATACATTTGGAAGGATAAAAGATATAACAATGTATCTCATTTAGTGGAAAAATTCTTATTATTCAGTGTAACATCAATAGTTATCATGATAGTTAAGGTTTAATTCAACTTGGCTGGGGCAGTATTTTAAGTTGCTTAGCAATTCACACTGAATAATTGCGCATGACCTGATTAAACACAATGTAACCACTGCCAATCAGTTTTAAGTCTCCAGGTTGCTGTTAGATGCCATCAAGTTGACCCATAGTGACTTTATGCACAACAGAGTGAAAACATGCCTGCTCCTGCGACATCCTCATAATTCTGCCTGTTTGAGCTCTTTGTTGCAGCCAAGGTGCCAATCTATCTCCTGTGGGAGGGGATGCTATTAACAGCCAGGATAAAGGTATACATGGCAACGAAGTGGTCATCTTGATGTTGGTAGATGTCTTCATCAATTTGCATTTATGGCAACTCCAAGTGACAGAATATAATTGTCCCCAGGGGCTATAATCTTCAAAGGAGCAGAGAGCCTTGATTGTTCACCAAGGACCCTGCTGGACAGGCTTGTGGGTTCAAACAGCTAACCTTTCAGTTACTCATCTTAGCACTGGAGAAAAGGTAGCTCCTCAATGACATAGACATAAGTACAGGCTTAGGTGCAGGTATGGATAGATATGGAAATGATTTCCTTATTCTAATAAGCCAAACCTGCTGCCATATAGGTGGTTCTGTCTTATAGAACCCCGTAAAGGGTTTCTGGGGCTGTAAATATTACTGGCGCAGAAAGCATCATCTTTCTCCCAAGTAGTGTCTGGTGGATTAGAACTGCTGACCTTGTGGTTAGAAGCCCAGTGCATAATTAAATAAGTGACCCCAAATCTCTTTCCTGAAGCTATTGCTTTACAATATGACTTTTGGTGATCACATTTTCCCTATAGAAAAGAGAAACTGAAGCAATTGCTCCTGGATAGAAATCTTAACATGCTTAGAGATATACGATGAACCACATGAAAGAAATTCAGTCAATTTGCTATTTATCAGAGGCTGATTACCCAGCTTATGTATTATCTTTGGGACTCTGGCTTTAATTCTTTCACCAATTAATTTAGCACTATGCCAGTTCTGATCAGAGAGATTTGATGGGAAGAAGATGAAGCTATTAGATAAAATGAGTTTGGGGAATTACTCATAGATTTCAATTACCTATACTGAAGTTTGATTGACGAGGAAGAAGGGAGCTTCACCTGGACAGCCTTGCAAGTTAGACACAGGTTTAGATGTATTTTCTCCTTGTCCCCTTTAGGAGCTCTGGCGGTGTGGTTGTTACATGTTGAACTGCTGTTACAACATCAGCATTTTGAAACTACCAGCTGCTGAACAGGAGAAAGATGGGGCTTTCTACTCCTGTGCAGAGTTACAGACTCAGAAACCTACAGAGTGGTTCTACCCTGTCCTGTGGGGTTGGCATCGGCTTGGTTTTGTTGATATGGGGTTTTCCTCTTTGCCTTTTGAGTAGAGACCATACAGACAACATGACCAGGAAGTGGTGAGACTGGGTGTTAAATGTGAACACTCAGGTTTGGATCCTTTTTTAAAATACTAAACCACACTGACTTCCAATAATAGCTATTGAGAATTAAATTCTCGATTTTATATTTTTATATATATTCTATATTATAAAGAATAGGTTGAATGGAAAATAATTAAACTTTTGAAAAGTACAGCACCTGCTGACAACTTTATAGTCTGGAGTTACAGAGTTCAGTAGAATATACCCAAGGCTTGGGCACCTGGAGTTTCAAGTCTTTTTATAAAGTTACTTAAAACCACTTTGAATTATAGTGTTTCATATTCTGTATTGAAAACTGGAATTCATAGCATTGACCTCTCTACAAGACTTCTAAAAGAGCAAAATGCCTCATTGTTTATATAGCACATGATACTAAGAGCCAATAGTTAATAAGAGAAGTGCATTTTAAAACAATTTGATGATGAATGTATATAAAATTGTGCCAAATTATACTTTCCCATACCATCTCGAAGGTGCAGGTATTTGTCAATGTCTGTGATACTTGAAAACTAGCAGAGGACATAAGACTCACATTGGCACAACAATGAACAGATCAAGGTATAAAGATATAATAATAAGTGATATTATAATTATTTTTACATAGAACATGTGTAGTTAGAGAATTTGTCTTGATTCACAACTATGAGGGTTTTTTTTTTCTTTTTACACTAAATGAAACAGTGCCTTTCTCTAAGTTTTCAGAAGAAGAGGCATCTGCTCTGTACATGGGTACAGATCAGAGCTGGAAACACAGGGAATCCAGGACAGATAAACCCCTCAGGATCAATATTGAGAGTAGCAAAACCAGGAGGGTAAGCGGAAGGTGGGGGAAGAAAGGAGGAGCCAATCACAATGATGTACATATAACTCCCTCCCAGGGGGAATGAACAACAGAGAAGTGGGTAAATGGATACATCGGTCAGTGTAAGAAGTGAACAACAATAATTTTTAAATTATCAAGGGTTTAGGAGGAAGGGTGGGGGAGGGGAAAATGAGAATCTGATATGAAGGGCTCAAGTAGAAAGAAAATGTTTTGAAAATGATGATGGCAACAGATGTACAAATGTGCTTGATACAATGGATAGATGGATGGATTGTGATAAGAGTTGTACGAGCCCCCAATAAAATGATTTTTAAAAAAAGAGGCATATGCCCTTCACCATCAAATAGAAACAAAAACTCAAAGCCAGAAATTCAGCTCTCAAATGTTTGGACATTCTATGTCTCGGTCTGAAAATGATTTACTAGGAAAATGAGATGGTTGGATCAGATGAGTTTATGTGGTTTATTTATTTTTTTAAATCATTTTATTGGGAGCTCATACAACTCTTATCACAATCCATCCATCTATCCATTGTGTCAAGCACATTTGTACATTTGTTGCCATCATCATTCTCAAAACATTTGTTTTCTACTTGAGCCCTTGGTATCAGTTCCTCATTTCCCCCTCCCTTCCCCTGCCCCCCTCCCTCATGAACTCTTGATAATCTATAAGTTATTATTATTTTGTCATGTCTTACACTGTCTGATGTCTCCCTTCACCCACTTTTCTGTTGTCCATCCCCCAGGGAGGAGGTCACATGTAGATCCTTGTGATCAGTTCCCCCTTTCTACCCCACTCTCCCTCCACGCACCCAGTACCAACAGTCTTACCACTGATCCTGATGGGATCATCTGTCCGGAATTCTCTGTGTTTTCAGTTCCTATCTGTACCAGGTGTACATCCTCTGGTCTAGCCAGATTTATAAGGTAGAATTGGGATCATGATAGTGGTGGTGGTGTGTGTGAGGGGGGAGAAAGCATTAAAGAACTAGAGAAAAGTTGTATGTTTCATTGTTGCTACACTGCACCCTGACTGGCTCAACCTCTCTTCAAGACCCTTCTGTAAGGGGATGTCCAGTTGCCTACAGATGCGCTTTGGGTCCCCAATCTGAACTCCCCCTCATTCACAATGATATGATTTTTTGTTCTTTGATGCCTGATACTTCATCCCTTCAACACCTTGTGATCACACAGGCTGGTGTGCTTCTTCCATGTGGGCTTTGTTGCTTCTGAACTAGATGGTCACTTGTTTACCGTCAAGTCTTTAAGACCCTAGATGCTCTATCTCTTGATAGCAAGGCACCATCAGCTTTCTTCACCACATTTGCTTATGCACCCGCTTTGTCTTCAGCAATCGTGTCAGGAAGATGAGCATCATGGAATGCCAGTTTAATAGAACAAAGTATTCTTGCATTGAGGGAGTACTTGAGTAGAGGCCCAATGTCCATCTGCTACCTTAATACTAAACCTATAAATATATGCACATAAATCTGTTTCCCCATCATCCTATATAAATATATTTACATATGTACATTCCTGTGTTTAGACCTCTATAAATGCCCTTTCCCTCCTAGTTCTTTCCTCTATTTCCTTTTACTTTCCTTTTGTCCACTCTCATGCTCAGCCTTCATTTGGGTTTCAGTAATTCCTCTCAGTTACATTACCCTTGATCAAGCCCTATCAGGCATCTTACACCCTCATCACCACCGATTTTGGATCACTTGTTCCCTTGTCCCTGGGTTTGTTAATACCACTTCCTTTCCCCCACCTCTACTTCTCTCACATTCCCCCAGAACCAACGGTCCCGTTGTTTTCTTCTCCAGACTGTTTATCCCGCCTATCTTATCTAGATAGACCTGCAAAGATAATAATATGCACACAAACAAGACAGAACAAAACAAAGCAAGAAAAAATGATAACTTCCTGCAAGTGTCTTCAAGGATGATCTACAGGTTTACCAACTCTACATTCTTGGAGATATAATTCTGCTTCTCCTGATACAATAAGCCCAAGAGCCCTCTTCTCTTTAGAATGACATCAAAAGGAATCAAATTTCTTTCTTACATAAAGACTGAAGGACTGCCTATAACAGGTGGAATCACTGTCAGCCCACAACAATCTTTCTAAAGGAAACCATGAAGCAGGTGCCCCATGGTTCAATTTGGGAGGGGATTGGAGAGGAGGTGGGGGTTGAGGTGGTTTGGGGAAAAGGTTACAATTTTCACATATACATGTTTGTACTGTTTAAGCTCTCAGCAGTTACATGACTTTAAAAAAATATCATATGTCATGCAAAAAACATGTCATGTAAATATCATCCAGGGTTACCCGGGCAGGCAAATCATGGCACCATTTTGCTGTTGGCTTTGCTTCTTGTGTCTGCTTTAGAAAAAATGCTTGAAAGGTGCCCACCTATGCTAGTGTTTCAGTTCATGTGCACGAAGAAAACTGTCTGAGGTCACTGTACCTTTGTACACGCTGTGATGGAGCTCCCGAAGCTGCTTGCAGAGCTGCTGCTGCCGCTGCCTTGCTGGGGCTCTGAAGCGTCACACACCAGCGGAGTCTCTGCATTGCTGCTTACCCCAAAACACAAAAGAGAACACATATCTGTGAGTCATCTCTGTGTTCAGAAATGAAAAACGTACGAGACTCGGTGTGTTGTACTGAGATTCCTCTTTACAGATCGCATCCAACACTGCACACGCTTCTGCGGACAAAGCCATTTCCTGGTTGAGTTCACTCATGGACTTGCTGGAACGACTGTGGCCTATCGTACTGTGACTATACAACTGCAACCCAGTGCTTCCACATTGCTTCCATAGACACTTTCACACCTGCCCGACTTCCTGTAATAGCAGCACCTTTCCTCAGGCACACAAGTTTTTTTTTGTTTGTTTTTTTTAAAACATTTTATTAGGGGCTCATACAACTGTTATCGCAATCCATACACACATCAATTGTGTAAAGCGCATTTGTACATCATTC